GAGCCCCGCCGCGGGGCTGTTCCCCCCCGCCGGGGCTCCCCGGGCTCTTCCCGCCGGGGCTGCCCACCCCGCCCCGGGGCCCAGGGGATGGCGCCCGGGCACGCGCGCACACCTGCCCCCCTCCAGGGCTGGGGCAGAGGGGGCTTGCGCCCTCCCCTAGGGCTCTGCAAAGGAGGCTTGCACACGCATGCGTGCCCCCTCCAGGGCTGGTGCCAAGGGGGCTTGCACGCTTGCTTGCACACATGCGCCCCCCAGGGTTCTGCAAAGGGGGCTTGCACACTTGCTTGCACGCATACACACACATGCCCCCCATCCAGGGCCAGTGCAAAGAGGGCTCGCACCCTTGCTTGCACGCATCGCCCCCCCCGAGTTCTGCAAAGGGTGGCTTGCACACTTGCTCGCACACATACACACATCCCACCTCCAAGGCTAGTGCAAAGGAGGCTCACACGCTTGCACACACGCACGCACACAAGTCCCTCCTCCCGGGCTGGTGCAAAGGGGACCTGCACAATTGCTTGCACACACACACACGCGCGCGCACGTCCCCCCTTCAGGGCTGGTGTGGAGGGTTCCCTGCCCCGGCCAGGCTCGCAGCACCCGGATGCCACGCAGACAGGAGCAGGACACAGGCCACCGGCACACGAGGTTCTTTGGGTAAATCTGATGTCTTTTATTAGACCAACGCCAAGAGTTGGAAAAATTCTTCTTTGCAAGCTTTCGGGCGCAAACGCCCTTCGTCAGGCTGAGGAAGCATCTGCAGTTGGGGCGCGCTCGTCCTGGATGGAGCGAAGAGTAAAGAAGCCCGAGGCCCTCCCCCACCTCCACGGCCGCCTCTGAGCGCAAACGTTGGCACGGATCCGGTGCGCCAGTGCCTCCGCTGGGAAATCGCTCCTCCATGGCTCGATTCATCACGACCCCCGGGAAGCCCCCGCAGCCAGAGGAAACGCTATGAGGACGTCCCGACGGCAAACCTCAAGCACACGGGTGCCGACGTCGCGAGTAGGGAGGAGCTGGCTGCTGACCAGCTCCAGCGGTGCCGCAACCTCAACCAAGCGGCATCCCGTTTTGAGGTAAAGCATCTCGCCCTCGAAGCAGAGAAGAGAGAACGGAGGAAGGGAAAGCAGAGAAATCCTAGCCTACAGCCTACCCTTCCCTGTAGCAAGACCTGCAATGTCTGCAGCCGGGTCTCTGGCTCGAGGATTGGACTCGCCTCAAGACCCAGCTATGAACCATGGCAGAGATCATCCTCGAACCGAGGGATTGCTGACCACGACAAAAGAGCTGTCCTTTACTGGGTGAGACCGCAGGTCCATCTAGCCCAGCTTTTCTTTCCGCAGGGGCAGCATCCCTTAAGAGTGAAATCACATCTGGCCTTGGCAGGCAAGGTCCGGACTAAAGCTGAGGCTGGGTCTTCCCTGGGCAGGGCTGCGGTCCCTTGTAGACCACGTGCACCCACCGCCTGCTCTGCTGAGCAAGTGGGAGTGGGGATGCTGCTGGGGTTGGCTCCAGGGAGGGGGTACCTGGCAGCTGAAACACTTCCCAGGACAACAAGAAAACTCGCATCAGCTTCCCCACCACCAGCGAGCTGCCTGCAACCATGAGGAACTGAACAAGCTGCTGGGGGGAGTCGCCATCGCCCAGGGTGGGGTCTGGCCCCACGTGCAAGCAGTGCTGCTGCCTAAGAAAATTGAGCCACAAAACCAAGGGGAAGTGAGATCTGCAAATTTGGACCAAGACTCAGAAACGTTCGTAACACAAAAACCCCACATCGCGCAGTAGCAGAAAGCAGATGCTGAAAGGGAGAGTGAACAGGCTGTGGCCTGGGTTGTGTTTTCCCCTTCCTCTCTCACTTGCAGGCTCCAGCATTTAAGGTCTAGGAAGCTCTGATTCAGAGGCCGTGCCTGAACTCCGGGGCTCGCTAGCGACTGATGCCCCTTTCCTCCAAGGACAGCAAGCGAGGCGGGAGTGGGGGCCAAGGTGGAAATCATGTCACCGCGCTCCAGGCAGGAAGGACCTTCTTCATACCCAAAGCAAATGCCATTGCTGAACACTGGGCACGATGCCCGTGTGCCCAGGCACAGGGCGAATCTGCAGACCTAGGCCATACGTGCGAGTCTGGCAGATGAAATGGTTTGGGATCCACTCCCAGAGGAAACAGTCTACCTCGCCTCACAGGGCACTTTCTACTCGGGTAAGAAGGCCATAATCACCTCTGGTTACATTAACAGCAGCAGGGCAAGGCACAGCAAGAACCAGCCCAGCCAGGCAGCTGCCGCCGACTCAAGGGGAAGCGAGGTGAAGCAGGATGGGCATGGGAATCCCACAGCAGTACAGTCAAGCCACAACCTCACGAACTCCAGCTGCTCCAGGGCAACGATGGGGTTGCTAGCAGTGTGCACGGCCCTGCCAAAGATACAGAATGAAAACCACGACCCCATACAGCCGATATGACCCCCCCACTTACCACTCTGCAAGAGGCTGGATGCAAAAGTTCAAACAACTGGAACAAAATGACATAATTGAAGAAACAATGTGCTGAGCGGGTCCCACCCATCGTAACAGGAAACGAAGACTGGAGGTATTCTTGCTGCCTGCACTTCAGATAAAGCCTGCAGCGCTGACAGTCCTTCGCTTCCACATAGAGATGAAGGTGTTTGGAGAACCTGATGGAGCAAAGGTGTATTCAGATCTCAATCTACAGCATGTACACCCATGGCAATGTTATGTCATGGCATTTATCACAGAGATGGACTTTTGTGCTAAAAGTGAGGACCAGGCAGGCGTGCCTCATCACCCAGCGCTCTTCAGGGCACAGTGTCGGTGGTCCTCGATGACCCGTCTGGGGTTCTGTATTATCTGGATGGCGTCAGCATGTTTGGAAAGACACCAGAAGAGCATGATGCACACTTACAGGCCGTATGAAAACACGTCACTGTGGCAGACCTGCAATCAAAGCTGTCTACATGGTGTATTTCTTGGGCAAATCATTTCACAAAATGCACCAAAACCTTCCCTAGGTTGGGCTGCTGCAATTACAAAGGTATTAGCACAGCAAGACATTCAAGCATTGCATTTTTTTTTTTTAGGTCTTCCATCAAGGCATGCAAGGTTTGTTTCAAGCTATGCTTCAGCTGTAGAATAGACTTTCATGATGTATTACTTCCGGCCGTTTGCTAAGGTCAGGGTGATGGCATAACGGCCTCAACTGGAACAGTGTTAAACGATCCCATGAAGTCAATCACAGGCTTTTTCCGTGCTGAATCAGGAGAAAATGCAGGTTGTAATGGTGATGTGTGGATCACCGAGTGCATCCCTGACTGTTACAGACCTCACGTTTAGCCCGTTTTGAAATGGCAAAAACTTTGGTCAGTACCCTAGCACTCCTGCATTACCTTTTGTGGTGACTATTCATGTCTCAAACTGCAGATTTGGAGCCAAACTTAGCCAGATCCATGATGACAACACCGAACAGACTGTTCAGTTGCTTTCAGAGAACTTGCTGGAGCTGAGAAAGTCACCCAAAGGGAAATACTTACTTTGCATATAGGCTACAGAAAAATGGGGGGCTTGCCTTTGGACCACAGCTTTAAACTGCGCACAGAGCACACATAAAGCAAAAGGGCTCGGCCAAATAGGAATGCGCATTGCTGGGCGGGCGGTGGGATTGCATAGGAGGAGGAGCACAGGCCAGGAACCAGAAGTGTGACTGCACTGTGCTCCTCTCGCCTGTATTGTCACCAGATTCCTGCTTGGAAGTAACTGCAGTTCTCACAAGTATGATTTCTGCATTGACCAAAGGAGTATTCAAAGCTTCTTGCTCAACAAATACTGAGAATTACTGACAATGCAACAGTCAAATAATGCCAAACGCCTAGACCCAGCTTAGCTGGCATGTGTTAGGCTGCAGAGCCATTTTTCCCTAGTTGGATGTGTGCTATGTGGGGCACACCAACTTTTTATTGCAGAAGAGCTACAGGCGAAACACAGACACCTTGCTTTTGATATGAACTAGAACAAACCAACAGCCATGAGCTCTATAACTACAGCCAGCAATGGATGCTCAAATGGAGGTTGCTCTAAAGTCTTGTGTTACCTGTCAATCACTTAACAAGACCTCCGTGATCCACACACCATCATCACCACATCTTTCCCCAGTTCAGCATGGAAAAAGCATGTGATTGACTTCATGGAACCATTTAACAATGTTCCCCTTGAGCCCACGATGCCATGGCCCTGATTGACTATCTCAGCAAATGGCCAGAAGTGCTCACACCACAAGTCGTTGCTGGTACTGCAGTTACTGTCTTCAGCAGAGAAGGAAACCTGAATGTTTGGTAACAGATCACAGACCAGCTCCTGAGAGCTGGAAACTTTCCTAACACAGAGGAAAAGCACGCAGAAAAGGTCACTGGTGCCTTGCCCTCAAGCCAACAGGGAACCTGAACTCTTCAAGAGACCTCTGACAGAGTTCACAGACGGGGCACGTGGGAGAAAAAGCGGGGGAAGTGTTCACCAGGAACATACAGGGCTGGGGAGGTACGCCATGCTCTGCCTCACCCCAGCCCATCCATAGCAGAACAGAGATGCTACAGATAATTTATCGATAACCCATTACTTCCTTTTACTTTCCCCAGTATAAAACGCCTACCATAGAGGCTGTGTCTGATAGACACGCTACCAAAGTCAGAGACCACCTGTGTGGACTAGAGAGTTCGTTTTGCCTGACCCATGTCTCCACAGGTGACCCTCCTCTCTCAGCCCCTGCCCTCTTCCAGACAGTCAAGGTCAGCCGAAGGGAGCCACAGGCTTATGAAGCCTGTCATTGAGAGGATACAGCTGCAGCCCTTAGAGCCATCTAGGTAT